TAGCCCGGGCTCTCCTTCAGGACTTTCATGGGTCATCGCCCAAAAAACAGCCTAGATTGGTCCGTTTGGTTGATTTTGACTCTGGCCATTCTGCAGGCACACACAGCTGCCCAATAGCAGGCGAACCGCCTGCTTCAGTTTTCCACAGCCACAAAGCCAGCAGCACGGACAGTCAGACAGGACCATGACCCAAAACCGCTCAACAGACCTGACCAGATCCACATGATTCCACGTGAAACCACACTAGGAACTGTTTGCGACTTAATCCAATGGCATCCGCAAGATGCCGCATTGCGGGCCTTCCTGGCACACTGGAGAGAGCGCTGAAGTGCGAGGACATATTCCAGCCGCTCTTTGAGGCGTATGCTCGGATGACTTCCAACCGCATAGAAGATTTGACCTTCCTAGCAGGCGAGCCGGAGACGGAAATCCCGATGACCTCAACAGTGGGGCAGTTGGCAAAGGCCCAGACCGGTTGGATCTGCATTCGAGCTTTGACAAGGCGTGAGACAGTGGAGAAGAAGCTGAAAGACTACCTTCGCGAGAAAGCAGGGTGCACAACAGCCGACCTTGTGAAGATTTTCGCGCAGCACACAAATGGTATAGGCAGAGAAGAGTTTTGCCAGCTGCTCGCTGTGGTTTCATTGTAAACCTTTTTGGCGGTTTTTTGAGTAGGTAATACTTTCGACCGAGTTGTGTAGGAGGTGATTTTGTGTGTGGCTTGAGGTTCTTCGATGAATCCGAGCAGATGGTGAGTTTGGCTGAAGAGCAATGGGCACAGCTTGTCGGTGAGCAAAGCCACATGTCAGTCCAGGCGCTTTGCTCTTGGGTTGGTGACTTGGTGAAGGAGTGCGTTTCGGTTTGCCACGTCACTGGCAGCAAAGAGTTCAGCATGGCTGACTGTCTACATGTGCTTGACAAAGGGGACATGGTGCTGTGCTTGAGCCGTGAAGAGGAAGTGTCGAATGGCAGCACTCGGCGACTAGTGAGGGTGCTGAAAGAGCCAGTAGTCACTGGCTGGGCAACCATTTTGCCTGTAGGTGCTAGCGCAAGCCTCTTCAAAGAGCCTTTGTCCTTGTTGGAAATGGGTGTGTTTGAAACATTTTCTGCTTTCATCTCAAAAAATGTTTTGTGGCACGTTGCCAGCCATTTCGATCTGAGGATGTTCAGAGCTCTGAGCCTGAACCTCCACAAGCTGCCGAGGCCGAGCTGCCTGCAGTGATCAGTGCGAAGGATCTGATCGAGGCTGATCAAGCGATCGATGAGGCACTGGACTTGGGAGATTCTCCTGTGCCTCTCGATGGCCGAGGAGGCGCCTTCGGAGACGGTGGACGGCCGAAAGCTGCAGCAAAGGCTGCTGCAAAGAAAACACCAAGACGGTCAAAGCGGGTGCGTGTCACCGTGCCAAGGAAGCAGCGCTCTCCTCCTCGAGTGGATCGCCTTGGTCAGCGACAGAAGACCATTCTCAGGGAGATCGCCCGCTTGCAGTCAGACAAGGCGCCTCCAATCCTCCTTCCCAAGGCAGCTTTTGGCCGCCTGGTCAGGGAGGCTTTGGATAAGGTGTCAGAAGAAGAGGGAAAGCACAAGATGACTTCTGAAGCCCTCACGGTCTTGCAGGAGAGCACAGAGTGGTTCATGTCGGATTTGTTTGCGGACGCTCAGAAATGTGTTGTGCACCGGAAGAAAGCCACCTTGACACCAGATGACCTCACGTTGGTGCAGCTCTTGCGGGGTCGCGCGTAGAGAACTTGTGGTGCGACTTTCAGCCTGTGTGTCCCATGCCTTTTGGAAGCCAGAGAGATCTTGCCAGCAAAGGCTGCTGTGAAAAATGGCTTCCGCCTTCTCCAGACCAAACCCCGAAGCCAAAAGACCTACCACTAGTCACTAGTAGACTCACCACTAGTGGAAATCACTGAGCAGACCTGCTACCAGAGGCTACCTCTTCAAAATAGGTTTTTTTGGGGGTCGGATACTTGGCTGTCTTGGTCGGTTCCCCTCCAAAAAGCGGCCCGTTATCGTGGGTTCACACACAGAAACACAGCCTAACTCGGTTCGTTCAGTTGTTTTTAGGCCGGGCTCTCCCCGGATCGTTCGAATCCTTCGGTTGGAGTGTTTGTAGGCAAGAATACCTTGAGGGATCCAATCCTTGCGTCGTCGGACGCTTGACAGGCAGAAGAGCAAGCCGAGGAGTGCAGGTGCCAGCGCGTTGCGGGGGCTGGGCGTTTTTGTGGTTGCGGCGGCGGAACCATTCGGCTCCGTACCGGAGATTTTCGTGCTCCAAAAGAGGTTCGGGCAGATGTGAACGCAAAGATATGAAACCTACAAATCTTGCATTGCAAGTAAATATGTTTACACGCTTTCCTTTGATTACAACCTGTATATTTTTCAATTTGC